GAGTCCGGCTTCTATCACAGCAGGGAAGTCCCGGTCCCTGCACAAGAAAACGGAGGTGAAGAATTGGTTAAAGAGGTCCGCTTTCTCCTCTGACGCAACCACCAGATTGCCCAGCGTATCCTGCAGGGGTCCCACATTACCCGGCGCCTTCTTCATCCTCCCAATATATTTGAAAAAGGACTTTTTGTTATCCTTAATCTTGGATGCTAATCCGAGCTCTATGTCCGTCTTGGCCTTCCTAACAGCTCACCTACAGGCCCGAGCAGAGGAGGTATACTCCTCTTTGGAGATTTCACCCCCCTTCCACCGGGCGTACGCCGCCTTTTTGGCAAGCAGGCATTCCCGGACGCCCTTGGTGAGCCAGGGGGGCTTTCGGACACTCCTGCCCCCCTTGCTTCTTGTCAGGATGGACACCCCTTGGGCCCTGAGTATCGTTTCCTTAAGGAACGACCACTCGTCTTGGACACTGAACTAGACGAAATTCTGAACGCTGAAATTCTGTGTTCGGCATCTGTCAAAATGGAGTTTGATATTGCATCCTTCTATATTGGGCACAAACTTTTTCTGCATTAGAAAATGAGCATAAAGAAACTCTAGTGCTCTATCATGCAACCCCAAACTGAATTCCTCCATTATGATACAGTTGTTCATTCTGTGCCCTGCATGTGGAAGCTTTAAAATACTGGATGAATTGTTTCTTCTTGGGTTTGCTGGTCTATAGGGAACAACTTGTCTTACCCCAGCTTATCCTTTATTACTGAGAACATCCATCCACTGGTAACGCAGACTTTCTGTTGAGCCAGGTCATGGTCCCACCAGTGTTGGATGTCTCCACTCCCTTTTGTACCACCTGTTTTTTACTAAATAAGTTATAATATCGTGTGATATTTTAGCATTCTGGTTACTGAATTCTTCCCCTCCAATTTCTACCTTACAGTCTAATGTCAGCTCAGTTGGATTCTTTTTTTCTCTGACATGAATGTTTCCAACTTGTCCTGTTTTTTAGCCAGGTACATAGGCTTGGTGTATGTATGTGCACTTAATGCATTTATTCTCTTAGTGTGTCTTAATACTTTCACTTGTTATGTCAGTTTTTACTTATCATGCCCCCTCAATCATTTCCCTTTCTGTAGATAAATGCCTTTCTGGATAGTTCAGCTAGTCTGTTGCTTAAAAAACTGGTTTCCTCGCTTCAAGGAGGAAGAAGGACAAGCCTAGTTCCAAAGTTTTCATTCCACTGGGTAATCCAAAAACTGTCCCAATATTATTCAGGAAGTTCAAAGTACTTCAGTGACTATATCTACGCTGTCTCTATGCCACACCAAGGAGTGCTGCTGTGAAGGTTTCCCAACCCATTTACTCACACTCCATGCTTGCCATATCCCAGAAATATGGCAACATAGTCTCCTTACACTGGACTTGAGAGGTGCCAGAAGATGCACCTAAGCCTAGAAGTAGCTCTGGGTTCCTCTAAGGCAGTGACATCCAACTTCTCTGGCTCTGCAGGCTGGATGAGTGGCATGGGGCTGGTCCACAGGCTGGATCTACAGCACAGTTTTCATCTGGCCTGTGGGGCTGGAATTTGGTGCTGGCTAAATTAATTGCTATGATTCCTGGATCCACAGCAGCCACTGTGGCAGGACAGAAGGGGACACTCTTGCACTGAGCCAGCTGCCTTACTGTGCCCAACCAAAAACCAAGCTTCAAGTGCCTCCCCTGGGGCACATATGTCCAGCTGACCCCCTGGGAGCACACCCGAGCCTGGGGTAATCGCTGCCACCACTCGGGGTCTGGTCATTGTTAGGACTCCCAAGGTACACAGACCTTGTAGATCTTGTGGATGCTTACCTCGCTGTGGGATTCTGGGGTGTTTATAGCCTGAAGCATCCAAAGATAACCTCAGATACCGAAGGAAAATAAAAAGCCTAGCTCAACTTTGCTGGTCAAGCAAAGGATGCAAAAGGCCTACTTCTCCCCTTTCTCAGTATCACAGCCAGGCACACTGTAACTTGATACGTCTATTGATGGGGGTGAGGTGGGGGTGGTAGTACAAGGAAGATAGAAATACACTTTGAGCAAACAAAAGTAATTTGAGCCTTTGCCAATATTGGATTCAATGATCCTATTTAATGCAACTGGCTATATGTATTTCTAGACTTCCAGGTCAGCACAGAGAATCATCCAAGCTGGAGCCTGGAGGTGCATTGCTTGTGGCTTTTCAGTATGCCCACCGGAGGAATCCCCACCCCCCCCACCAGGAATTTTACCTGTTTAGGTCACCTGACTGCCCAGCCAGTACCACAAAGAAACCCAGGAAATACAGGGGTCACCTGGTTTGTCCCAGGTGAGTGGCAGAGAGAGGGGGATTTCTCCACAGCCACCACTCCCCAAACTACCAAATTTCTTGACCATGGACTAGATGACAAGAGCTCCCCAGCCTGTGGGCTAGTTCTTGGTCACCCCTGCTCTAAGGCAGCTATATGACCCCCAACTACTGGAAAGGAGGCCCGTGGAGTGAGAGCGAATAGGCAGTGTATGCTTTGAGGGGACATTCCTTTGTGCCATGTGGCAGCAGCCAAGACATTATCCACTGGCGCTCTGCCTTTCTTGCTGTGTTCTAGGGGTGCAGAAGTAAACTTCATGGGTAAAAGAATGTCACATTGCGTCCTCAGCAAAATTAATCCTGCATCTACCTGTCTGTGGTGGAAACCCTCTCTTTACTGGCTCAGCACGTATCTTTTCAACAGATCTATTCCTAACTCTTGAAATACATATCCCATCTCTATCTCAAAAGATGTGAGAAAGGTAGTAGCAGTAACACCCAAAGGGTGCAGATCTCCCTGGACCCATGAAAAACTTTTGCTCCTGGGCTCATGAGAACTCTGCTTCTGTGGGTAATATGTTTCAGAAGAAGCTGAGTGACATGGGGCATTAGTATCACTGAAATGCATGGTAAAGGGAAAGGTGGGAGGGTACACCAAGGCCTGGTCTGTGTTGTCCTCCATAGCTGTTTTTATAATTTTTATTTTATTTTTTTCCAAAGTGGCAGGAAGTATGAGAGGTTCTTCTTTTCAGCAAAATAAAGCTAGGTGAGAGGTACTCTAGGGAAACATCTCGCTCTTGAGGTCTGCCTGTGTGTGATCCACACCATTAGAATGTGTGACATATTGTTGGTGTGTGACTTGTCCTCCTAAGTTTGTTGCATCATGCCCAACTGGCAGATTGTAACCTGTTTAAGTGGGAACAGCTGGTTGGGATTTTGGTTTCTTTCACTGCAGGAACTAAAGAAAGCTTTATTTAAAAAAAAAGGGAAAAAAAAGTAAAGCAAAACAGGGAAAACAAAGGCAGTCACGTGCAACTCTGAGAAGTTTTATACGATGCATGAATCATTTGAGTTTTTTTACTTCTTAATCCACAATATAGCTGCCTACAAAACATATATTAACCTGTGCACGAAGCAGGCACTTAAAGGGGGGTGTGACATGTTTTGCCTATGAGTTACCTGAGTATTTGAATCAAAATGCTGAAAGTCAGGGCTTTTGAGTTTTACACCTTGCTTTGAGAGAGGAGTGTTACTGATGGGACAGACAAATCCATAGCTCTGGAATATTCACTCTGGGAGTCAGTTTTAGCTCACTGCCTAATGGATCTGCTGTACTGGAAACCTGGGCACTATCATCGGTTTTATGTGAAGAGATCGTGTGCAGTCTTGCAGATATCTTATTTCTAAGGTGGAGGCTGTTACTTGACTGTTGAGAGACACAATTTTGTCAAGTGCTTTGAGAGCAACTCATGGAAGTGCCACAAAAGAGCTGGGTGTCATTTTGTTACAGATCTCTGTGGCTGTGATGCTTGACTTGCTTCCAGATCCTGTGTTGAAAAACAGAGGAGACACAACATGGATGAAAATGAAAAACAATAAGAACCCAACAGATTCAGAAAATCTGGGACTGGATATAGAACATGGTACCCCAAAATTAACATTTACCACTTTTGTCATCAATTTTTGCACAGGCACCAGAAGTACACAGATGTACAGTTATGCCAGCACAGTAGGAACTAATACAGCACCTTGTCCCTAAGTGATCATGGAGAGGCAGATAATAGCTTGTTTGCATTAGTAGATGGCTACTGTGCGATTAATGAAGGACACACGAGACCTATACTGTTTTAACATGTACCAGTAGTAGTGTATTTGCTGCTGGGTTTTTTTGCTATATCAGACTCTAATATATTTAAAATGGGGTAGAACTTTGTCATCTGCCTGCTCCTTTTTTACATCCATGCAAATGTGTTGTATGTCTAGGTCCTCACTGACTGCGTTTAAGATTACAAGGGCTGACGAACAAGTAGCTCTTTTGCTATTGCAGTAGGTGAGGTGGAAAAAAATCTGTATGGTCTACTGCTGGGACAAAAAAAACCTATTGGGCATAGCTGATCTCCTAGTGTTCTTGCTGACCACATCTCTCCAATATCAAGTGCAGACTGAGACTTGTAGTAAGAACTGTTGTGGAGATGAGGACTGGGTTTATGGGTTCACATGAAGTATTGCTCCCATGAAACTTGCAGACTTGAGTCATGACTCCAGTATGCAAACACTGCAGTGAAGTTCACTCACCAAGCCCCCAAGAGGAACTCTTAGAAAGAGACCTTGGATTGGCAGACCTTTAGAAAGCTAAAGTGGCTGAGCTGGGACGTACATGTGGGATGTACACTAGGGGTATGTCTATGCTGCAACTTGTGTAGGCCCTTCTACTGCAGCTTGTGTAGGCCCGCCTAAGCCAGCTTTATGCTACCTTGGGTGCTGATAGAGGCAGAGCCCACAGTGCTGCTGGAACCAATCCCCCAGGTATCCATCCATTTTCTTGGAGTTTTGCAGTTTGTGCTGAACTCTGTGCTACCACAGCCATACTGCTAGAGACAGGTGAACAAGCTAGTTTAATGCTGATTGCCCACCTGTCTAAGCAACCTGCAGTCTCTGCAGTACAGAGATACTCTATAAATAGGTGAGCCCATGACCATTCCAAAGAAGTGAAGTAGAAGAGAGCGTTGACCATCCCCAACTATGGAGAATATTCCTCTTAGCTGTCATTAGCTGCAGTTTTCTGGTAAATGCCAGGACCTTGGCATTCTGGTGCATTCTTCTGAATCCTGCTTTCCATGTACTTCTTTCAATCCAGGTCTCTGCAGCAGAGCCTTCCAGAGGCCTCCCAGGACACACTTCAAATGCAGAGGGCCAGCTTGCCACAAGTCATAGGGTCAGAGAAGTAGGGCTGAAAGGGACCACCAGAGATCATCTAGCTTAACTCCCTGCCTGAGGTGGGATCATCCCTATCCAAACCATCCTGTACAAATCCATTATCTAACCTCTTACCAAAAAGTACACAGTCACCCTTGACACAACACAAGACCCTAAACTGCCACAGGTAAAGCAGGGAGACCATGGCATCCAATGTCCTACTGCTCAAAGGTCTTAAAAATATGCTCAAAGACCTGGCTTTGGCTCTGAATTTCCCATGTAAGCACCCAGAGCAACTGCTGCACAAGTTGCAAATTTGTGTGAAAAGCTGTATGCTGTTGCACATGCAAATATGATCTGTGGAGGGAAAAAGGTGGGTGGGGAGAGGAATCCCTCTAGTCTTGGTGCCTGCCAAAGGGCAAGGCGCTTTCAGAAGTAAGCTTAGAAAGATGGATCCTGTCTCTGCCTGCATGGAAATTTGGTTTTTTTGTAAGTGCTGGGCATACCTCTGGCATGTTCTCTATATATGAGAGAGCAGTAAAGGATCTCGTCACTGATTGCTGATACTCTGCCATTTTGGGTTGGGGTTTGGCAGCCATGTAACAGCACGTATCAGCATTACTGGGTTAAAACCTGAGTGTGAAGAAAAATCTTGTGTTCAACAGAGTTCAGGAGGTACTTTGGAGAGGCAAAATACTTTGGCCTGCCCTAGCATAATATCCAGCCAATTTTCTCAGTAGGTTAGAGGGTGTGTCAAGTTAAATTGCACAGCAGTGTGGAGCTGCGCTGCTACACCTCTGGTAAAAAAATACCTGTGCCCTGTCTACATTGGAGCTACAGGCAAAAGAATAAGGCGGGAGGCAGGAGGCATACTGGGAGATTTGGGTGGATATGAGGGCAGGGCTGAGGCCAAGAGGGATAGCAGAGGTGTGATACAGCTGAGGTGAAGGATAGGAAATTGGGCATGTCTATACGTTCATTAATGTGCCTTCCTTAGGAAAGTACTAGCTAAATGCACAGTATGTAGTTCCTGCACATCAGTGCTGGCACACGGTTAATTTGATACTGACTGCACATTAGCTTAATAACATCGCTCAGTAGGCTATTAACATGGGTTGTGCTGTGATGCTGTACTCTGCATTAGGCCAATGTGCAGTAAGCAGCTCATGTAGATGTGCCCATTGAGGGGAAACAGAGAGAAATTGGAGAAGTGTGAATATAGTAGTTGCTGTAGTAGAAGAGACTGTGGGGGCACATGGAGGGAAGAGGTGAGTTGGGCAGCCTGTCCTGCTTAGGTGGAAAAGGCTATGGAGAGGGGCAGAATGGCAGGTCTCAACCCCCTGAGGCTTGGGGAGGAGAATGAAATCCTCTGCGTCCAGGCACCAGGGACATGGTATTTGTGCACGTGGAGGGCTGAATTTCATAGTTTCATAGTTTTTAGGGTCAGAAGGGACCTGAGCAGATCATCTAGTCTGACCCCCTGCCATGGCAGGAAGATGAAGGTGGTCATCCAACCTCCTCTTAAAAACCCCCACGGTAGGAGCCTGCACCACCTCACATGGAAGCTGGTTCCAGACCCTAGCCGCCCTGACCGTGAAGTAGCGCCTCCTGATGTCCAACTTAAACCTTCCCTCTGCCAGCTTGTGACCATTGTTCCTGGTCACTCCTTGCGGCGCTTGGGGGAACAGGGACTCCCCCAGTGCC